CGCCCACGACACGGGGCGTCGCCCTCCGCGAAAAGAGAAGTTGGGGGTCCCTCGACGTATCGAGGTTGAAGAGGAGTATCTCTCCCCCATCCGAGCCCTGACTCGGAGAAGCCGTTTCCCTCTCGCGACGCGGGGCCTGGTCTCTTCCCTCTCCCTGGGTCGTTCCGCCGCCCGCAGCGCAGCCTCCGTTCCCTTCGGCACCCCGAGAGGGCGGGGGTCCGGGCTCCCCCTCAACCTGTACCTCCCAGCGGATGGACCCCTCAGGGTGGACTGGGGCGGGGCGGCTACGCCCGTAAGCCTTCCCGTCCCCGACCTCTTACCCTGAGGCCTGCTCCGCAGCTCGTGCTCGCCGCGCCAGACCGGCCTCTGCAGCCGCAGCTCCGCCGCCGCGAAGTCTACCTGAGCCTACCGAGCCGAGAGAGCCCAGGGGCGCTCCCGCCGCCGCAGCCTCTTCGTCTCTATGATCCTCCCTCCGCCCCTCCCCCGCCCTGTACTTCCTCATCCGGGGCCTGAGCTAGCCATGCGGGCTCGCCCAAGTTCCTCCCCCGCATGGCGCGCGCGCGCACTCCGAGGGGCGGCTCTTCCAGCGCCGAGTCTCCTCCAGTGCTGAGTGGACCCGGGTCGCTTTCCGCCCCTGAGGCCCGCACTCTTAAAGGGGAATACACCTTTTGACCCTGCTCCTGCTGAGACCCAGGGCCTAGTGTCTGTCTCTACCGCTAACACCCTGGTTCAGTCCACTGTTTCTCAGGCCTGGACGGCTGCAATTCTAGGGGCCTCCTGCCTTCCGCTATGGCAGCCCAAGATACCTTTATAACTGGAATCAGTGTTTTAAGTCCTGTCAGGCCATTGCTCTTTCTCATCACACAGACCACTAAATCTAAATGGTACCTTTTCCTCCAGTCCTTTAAGGCAGCGGTCCCCAACCTTTTTGGCATCAGGGACCAGTGCTCCTATGAGAACCTAATGCCTGATGATCTGAGGTGGAGCTGAGGCAGTGATTGCTAGCGCTGGGGAGCGGCTGTAAATCTAGATGAAGCTTCGCTGGTGTGACCACTGCTCACCTCCTGCTGCGGCCTGGGGGTTGGGGACCCCTTCTTTAAGACATTTTGTTTTAATTTATTCATAGTTTTAACACTGGCTGAAATTGCCATGTTTCACCTCTATTGGCTCATTTATCATCTGTCAATTCCCACCCCGTGGATTTCGTTCATTTTTGCTCAGCACCTAGCAGAGTCCTGCTTAAGTAGATAATTGACAGACATTTGAAGGAATGTTTATCTAAGAGGGAATTGAGGAGATCCAGAGAATGCTGTCGCCTTGCCCCAAATCACACCCCTTTGTATTAAAAATAGAAATCTGTTGCTTCTTGGACCTTAGAGAAAATAAAGGTTTGGGGGCGACTTTAATTCTCCCTTTTCTGATCAAGATATCTTTGAGCCACTCACCATACAGGCTATTAATGGCTGAGATGATGGTTTTCCCAGCTTTAGTTAAGGCTGCAGATATACAAACCCAAATGCCAACCCTATTGTTTACAAGTGCATGTATAGCTGCATAAATGTACAGTTCATATATAGGCTACTATAGATACCTATATATGAATTAGGATGAATTAACTAGAAATATATTTTAAAACATCTCTGTGATTACGGTATCCATGTCCTCAAGTACTTTCTCAAGCAACTATTTGCCTATAGAAGGGGATCTGAAAAACCCAGGCACTAACAATTTTGCATGGCACCATTATGGATCTTGTTTTTATTTTAAAACGTGATATTTTATACATGATGGATTTTTGTATTAATTTTGATTTTTAACTATTGCATTAAATACCATTTATTTTGCTCATTGAGTTTTTGGGCACATCGTGCAGGTGGTTGCAGCACAGTGGTTGTTATGAACAAGGCTGTCGGATCCCTAGCTTGAGAGCTCCAGCCTCCCTTAAACTTGACCAGCTTTAGACAAGTTTTAAAAATCTCAAAACTTGCCAAAGTGTATTAAAAATTTTGACCAAATTAAAAAATGGAATATTTACATTTGTAAGGTATGATACCAATTATGGATGTGTCTCGGAAGGAAGAATCAAATTCTCCTGAGGACTGGGAGAGAGAGAAACCCATTAGCTCCTTCTGAGATGGAAGAACTTCCCACCAGCCACTACAGCTCAGAAAACAGCCTGGGGGGTCTGGGTGTGTCCCTGAATTAGCAACATAAAAAAAATCTTTTACATTTAACATCTTTGAAAAAATTTGCAACTGTTGCAGTCCACTTGATTATATGTTTCCTTTTAATACAAAAATTACAATTATTTAATATTTAAATTCTAAATCCTAAAGTAAAGCATGGATGCTTAAAAAAACTATTACTTCTCTTAACACGGGGCCCTTTCGCCGATTCCGGTCTCCTTGTGGTACGCGATGTTTTTTTCTCTCAATAGTCAAAATTATCCGAAAACCATAGGTCAATTACGTGGAGCCGGCAACTGTCAGGAGACTTTGGTCAACTTCGGGCACAGTCTACACAGCTTTGATTTTCTCCTGGAGGAAAGAAAAATGTCCCGACCTACAGGAGCTTAGGCTGAACCCTTGGATGTGACATGAGGATGCCCGTTAAATGCTTGAGCCAAGTTGGACTCCATCGGGTAAGAATCCATTCTTTCCCCAATGTTTCCTCATGTGTGAAAAACGATATAGGGATGTGCCTCCTAATAGGGATGTGACGATTATATAAGGATGTCTGTAAAAGCTACCGTACCTATTATTAATAACCAAAGAGGCACAGAACATCATTTGGGGTTTGGAAGGATTTGAAAAGACCTCCAAAATGGACACTTCCTAGCAGGGGCCATCGCACTAAGTTGCACGTGCTCAGCCCTTTGCATTTTACAAAAAGTTCTCCCAGAAACTGTTTTGTGCCTCTCAGTAGCCCTGTGAGACCAGACGAAGGTCCATAACATTCTCTTTATAGATTCGGGGAGACTCGCCCGAGTTTGCCACGTTAGGAGATCATTAGGTAGAAAACGAAGCGCTTGCGCTCGGATCTACTTAAGGAACGTCTAGAAAGAGAACGATTTCCTCTCTAAGGCTGGCTGCCGTTTAGCAAGCAAGCGTGATTTGCAGGGGGCCAGCCGATGCTGGAGGCCGTCGCGATGCCCCGCCCCCGGCGCAAGCCCCGGATCGGGAAGTGGTACGGACACCGAGAGGAGGCGGAGGCCGGGCTAGAGAGGCCCGGGGCGGGTGGGCGGGAAGGGGGCGGGGCCCCAGGGCGGAGCCACCGGAGCGGCGCGGGTTCTCAGGTGAGCGCTCCTTGGCTGGGGCGGGCGGTTCGGCACCTAGACCTCCGGCACGAAATCTGCACACGTTGTGGGGGCGTAGGTGCGGCGTCCCGAGGAGGTGCGGGAGACCCAGGTAGGGTCCTGCTCTCGGGGCCCTGGCCTGAAGCGGAAAGGGGCTCCGGAGCTGCGGGTGAGTGGAGGTGCTATCCCGGGCCCGGGTTTGGGGAACGTGAGGGAAGGGGCCATGGTTTTGGTTGGAGTCTTGGCTCCACTGCGAACTCGCTGTGTGACCTTAGACAAGAATTTATTTATCTGAGCTTCAGTGTACTCAGCTGTGGAATGAGGGTCAGAGAGAGGAACCTCTGTGAATTTGTACAGACGGGAAATGAACCCTTGCCTTCCTCTCATTTGTATACCCAGGAAATTGACGGCGAAACGTGAACGGTGGGAATGCCTCTCAGTCTCTGAGTGACCTTGGGCAAGACCCTTATTCTGGCCCTCACGTTCCTCATCTACAGAATGAGTGTGCTTACCTCTTACTATCTTTTCATTATTTGAGTGTTATTGGTTTAGATAGAGGCAAGGTAATGAGTGGCCCATTCACTACAAGTTTTCCCTTTAGGGGTGTGATAGAGAATGTCTTCTTGGAGGTTGGTCTAGACCCTGGCCGGAATCCCCTTTAGTTCCCAGATTCTGTTCTCTATCTGTCCTTATACTTGGAAAAGTGATTTCATCCACGGGCTGGTGCTAACTCTTAGCCGAGCAGCACCAGTATTTTCAGTACCCTACAATCAAAGAGCAGTTGCAAATAAAAGTCTGACATTCCAGCCTTTTTGTTTGTTTTTCAATGGCAGGGAGGCAAGATGACTTCTCTCCTCCAAGCTTGGAACAGCTGAAGGGAACAACTGTACAAGATGAGAACAACAAAGGTCTACAAACTAGTCATCCACAAGAAGGGCTTTGGGGGCAGTGGTCAGTATTGATTGGTCTTTGGGGGTTGTGTCATTTGGCTGTGGTTCTGGTGTGTCCAGTGCCTTGAAAATTACACACTGATTCATGTGACAATTGAGGCTAGACAGGCCATTTAACTGAGTGAAGTAGCGAGTATAATACAGTAGCTGGAGGCCAGTATGACTGGAGAGCACAGGCCTCTTCTAAAAGCATTTGCACTCTGACTTTTAAGGAACATTGTGAATATTGTCAGTTTACTACCGTTCATTTGTAATTTTTATTACATATTTACTGTTTATGTTCCATAAAATTCTAGTCCATACTGGTTTTGGAGAAAAGAGAAACTTACATTCTATGAGAGAGAAACAGCAGATATGCTTAAGACAGGTATGATCAAAGCATGAACCTTTTCATAGTGACAATGAGAAGGGGCAGAAACAGCGTACTGTCCTGCACTGAACCAGAATCCAAAGTATCAGGTCTGCCTCTTAACTTTCCATGCAACTTCAGGCGAGCCCCTAGTTTACCTCACCTACAAATTCAAGCCCTCTAAAATAATTCCTCTTTTTCTAGCACCTTGAGCCTAAAAATCTACAGAATAAGATGACACTTAGTAATGCAATTTTTTTTCTTCTTGTAAATGAATCATTTTTTCTCCTGTCCTAACAACTTTATTTGCTTCGGAAATTGAAATTAATACAATAGGTCTTTTTAAAATTGTAATTTTAGTATGCATTTGCTCTAAAGGCAGGACTGAAAAAGTGACAATAATAGTTTCTATATCACAAGGTGTAATGGAGATCAAGTTAGATAATGTATATAAAATATTTACCATAGTACCAGGCTCATTAGTACTGCTCAATAAATGTAGCTATTATAATGACTAGGAAAAGGATATATCAAGCATTGCTAAATTTAAAACAATTTCTGCTAAAATGCACAATCTGTGATTAACACTATATTTGGTATGCAGTTGATGCTACCTAAACATTTGTGAAGTAGAACTGAATAGACAGCAGAAATAACTTTTGGCAGAAAGAAGGATGCAAGGATACAGTGTACACAATATATATACAATGTATACAATTCTGCTTTTTCATGTACACAAGACAAAGGTGGCTAGATACTATACCTAGTTCCCAGGGCTATGAACAAAAACACATCCAACAAATATTAAATGTATCCAATATTAAATGTTCCAAACATAAAGTTTATGAACATGACAAGGTCCCTTGTCCCTAAGGGGCTTTCTGCTCTATGAGA